GGTCTATTAGGACGCATTCTCTGGATTGGAGCTTCGGGGGTTCGGTTGATCCAGGCGCCCCGTCGAAGAGGGGGGTCCGGAATAGCAGGTCGCATTCGGAGGGGGGTACCGCTTTTTTTGGGGGGGGGTCGATTAGTAAGGGATTTGAAGTAACTAGAGGCCTCCTAGATGGGGTCGGAGTAGACGGGGTTGGAGGATCGCGCCGCATCGCCGATACATCGTCGATGCATCGTCGATGCATCGTCGATGCATCGGCGATGCGACGTCGACGTGACGCAAATCGGGCTGCACATCGAGCTGCATCGGCGATGCATCGGCGATGCGGCGCGATCCTCCGACCCCATCCACTCCGACCCCATCTAGGAGGCCTAGAGCAACGATGCCCCCGAGTCCTTGAGGATGTCCATCACCCTCTCGGCCTCGGCCCGGTTGAAGCGCGACTCGTTCTCCTCGCCCTCGCGCGCCTCGCGGCCGGCCTCCACGAAGGCCCGCGGCCCCCCCCCCCGTGTTGTGGGGCAGAGGGCGTGCGAGGCCCGGTCGGGGAGGAGGGCGGAGGAGGATCGAGGGCCGAGGAGGATCAAGGAGGATCAAGGAGGAGGAGGAGGAGGAGGAGGAGGAGGAGGAGGAGGAGGAGGGGATCAAGGAGGAGGAGGAGGAGAATCGAGGAGGATCGAGGAGGATCAAGGAGGAGGAGGATCGAGGAGGAGGAGAATCGAGGGCCGAGGAGGATCAAGGAGGACCGAGGAGCATCAAGGAGGATCAAGGAGGAGGAGGAGGAGGGGATCAAGGAGGACCGAGGAGGAGAATCGAGGACCACCCTCCCTGTTCCATTCTCCGTTCGTCCGTCCCTGCCCCATCCCCGAATCCGTCCATCGCTTCGTCCGTCATTCTCATTCTCCTGGCCCCCTCCTGCTGCACCTCACATCTCTCACTCAAAGGCGTACAAGGAGCGGCCACCATCTCAATGCGCTTCATCAGTACAGGACAAGCACAGATGACCGGGAAGAGCGCCAAGTATGACAACACACACAAGGGCCCCCAACACGACCCAAAACTGCCTCGGCAGAAGAAACATCGGAATTAACACGAGCCGTTCGAAGGTCCACGCGGTGTTCTTGGATCGGCGCTGGACCCCCCCTCCCAGGCGCGAGGGGGGTGCTGTCCATTCTTCCCTCCTCCGTCATCCTCCCTCCAACGCCCCTACCATCAATCTATTTAGTCCCGTCCTTCCCTCCATCGCGCAATCCCTTCATCCCTCCATCCCGTCATCCATCCGCTGATCTCTCAACTTATCCCTCCACCCCTCCATCCTTACATCCCGCCCCCCTAATTCCTCCGATATACCCCTTATATTCATACCTCCGGCATCCGCTCTCCTGCTTGTTCACTCTCCTGCGCTGCTACACGCTATTTGGTTCGACTCAACGCCTGCAGAATGTGAACGAGAGAGAACAAATTCCCACCCCCACCCTGAAAATCTTGGCCCCCCTGGGGAACCTGCCCCTCCTCCACGTGGGGGGAAGGGTGCAGTCTCAGTCGGGTTTCGGGGCACACTTCCCCGCGTAGAGAGTGTAGAGGGTACGCTGGTAGAGCCAACTTGCCCTGCGCCCGGTGGGGGTGGAAATGGTTCTGACGGTGCAGGGCCTGCCCGGGACCAGCGTGGCGCAGCCTGTTTCCGTAGCCAGAAGTTCGGCCACGCTTGCAGAACAACGCCTGCTGGCGCTTCTTGACGGGCCGCCCTCGAGGATGGTACCGGCACCAATGTCGGCGGTTCCCCCCCCAAGGCATCATGAGCCCGACCTCGGTGATGTTGGTAAGATTCGGGTTTCTTGGGTGGCGCAAGTTCTGCCACCAGCGCCAAAGTCTGGGATCCTCTTTCCCCGGTGGAGGCGCCCCTGTGTTGGTGATGCTACCGATTTCCAGGCCCGCATTGAACGTTCCCCCTCCAGGAACTCCACCATGGCACAATTTCCCGAAGAGGCCAGCGCGCGCCGAGGCCCCGTGGCGGAGCTCGGGCGGTGACCGGAGGAGCTCCGACCCATCCTAGCTCGGTCGCCTCCTTATTGTCGAAAGCGGTCAAGAGGGGGGAGGTCCAAGAGGGGGGGGTGCACATCATGACCGGCGGCACGTGCGCGGCCCAGGGGGGGGGGCTGGGGACGGAATGAAATAAGACGAGGCGCCATGAAATCTGGGGAAATATCATGGCCTACGCTATGATATCCACCCCCCCTAATCATCACCCCCCTCTGTGTCCGCCCCCGATATTGGGCCCGGGCACACGTTTAAAGCAGTGTCCGGCGCATGGACCACGACGTCCGCGATACAAAGTCACGGCCCTGCGAGGGGGGTCTTCCTCCCCCTCCTACTCCTCCTCCTCCACCTCCTCCCCTCCTCCTCCTCCTCCGCCTCCTCCTCCTCTCCTCTACATCCTCCTCCGCTCCTCCTCCTCCTCTCCTCCTTCCTCCTCCTCCTCCTCCTCCTCCCTCTCCTCCTCCTCCTCCTCCTCCTCCTCCTCCTCCTCCTCCTCCTCCTCCTCCAGGCCCGGCCCGCCCTGCGCCCAAGAGCGGTGCGCGCGCGCTCATGCCCCGGCCAGGGGGGGGCACGCCCACCGCTTGCCCCTTACCCGGGTTGGGCCGGGGCCCGGGGCAGCGGGCCCGTGCAGCAGATCTCGCCGCCGCACGATGGTGCTCCTCCTCCTCCCCCCAGGGGAGGAGGGGGAGAAGGAAGAGCACGAGGGGCGGAGGAGGAAGAGGAGGAGGAGGAGGAGGAGGAGGAGGAGGAGGAGGAGGAGGAGGAGGAGGAGAAGGAGGAGGAGGAGGAGGAGGCGGAGAAGGAGGAGGAGGAGAAGGAGGCGAAGGAGGAGGCGGAGGAGGAGGAGGAGGAGGAGGGGCAGGAGGGGCAGGAGGAGGAGGAGGAGGAGGAGGAGGATGGGTGGGCGCAGCTTCCACGGAAGCCCTGACAAAAGTGAGTAAACTCACGACTGCCAGGGCCGCCAGAAGTTCCTCGCTCGGCGAGCCCCTCGCCGCCGCGAGCGCGGCGCAGCCGGACGTGGCGACGAGGGGGGCCCCGAACAAGCCCAGACGCCGCGACCCTGGCCTACCGCAAGGCAAGCCAGGGGAACGGAAGCCACCCCCGCGGGGACGGACCAAAATTTCGAGGCGGATCCAGCCAGAGCCACTAGAGCGCCGACGGCCCGCCTCGGGCAGCACTCAAGACGACCAGCTTGCGAGGAAGCGCTTGACATTCTCGAAGTCGGGCTGGCAGGCGATGCGCCCGCACTGCTCTGGAGGGTAGGTGGCCTTGCCGGGCGCGAGGAGGGCCGCGAGGCACGCCGCGCGCACCTCCGTCTCCTCCACCGGGTAGGGCAGGCCCTCGACGAACGGCACCCGCATCTTCTCCTGGACGCGCACCGTGCCACCGCGAGCGGAGCCGACCACCTCGGAGTCGGTCGTGAACTCCCCGATGCCACCGACGACGTCGCCCGACAGAGAGCCAGCCGAAGTACACCCCTCCTCGTCCTTCTTGAAGTACACGTGGGACATCCCACCGCGGCGCCTGCCAGGCGCGAGTGGAGGTCCCTCTGGGACCTTGTCCTCCGACCTGTCCGTGTGCCAAGCCGTGCTACCTCCCACAGAGAGGGTGCACTCGCGAGGGCATGGCGCCGCGCCAGAAGGCCCCGGCTTCCCTTCCTGCATGCTCTGCAGCTTGTCGTCGCCTGCGAACGAGCGATCGGCGACCGCTTGCGAGCCGACCGTGCCAACGCCGGCCAGCTGCGCGATCTCCACCATGAGCTGCTGCACGAGAGGGTGGGACTTGCTGTTGCGGAGCTTGCTGAGCTTGCCCAACCGCGTGGCGGCGGCGCTGCCGCGCGCGCCGTGGGTCACCCCTTCGCGTCCGAAACGCTGAGCTCCCCCGCATGCCCCGAGACGGCCTTGACCCTCGCCAGCACGATGTCCATGTCGCCGACGGGATCCTGGTCGTCGTTGTCCGCGCCGCCGCACGGCCTGCCGCCCGCCGACGCCCCTTGGGCCGCCCCGCGTGCCGCCGCCGCCACCAGCGCCGCCGTAGCTTTTGGCCCCATGGATGGGCCTGCAGCCGCCAAGAAGGCCCCAAACGCCGCCTGGGCGTAGGGCAGGCCCTCCAGGCACCGGAGCCGCGCGCCCACGTCGTCGTCGCCGCAGGCCGCCATCGGTGATCTCACCGCACGGTGAGGCGCCGCGATCAAAGCGTGGGACGGGGCCCACCGCCTTGAGCCAAAAATGGTTACGGAGGAGAAGGAGGAGGAGGAGGAGGAGGAGGAGGAGGAGGACGACGACGAAAGGCACATGCAGTCTCGAGCTGCTTCGGATCTCTGGGGCCAAGAGCCGGGTCGGGACCAGGCGCGAGCCGCGCGGCTAACGGGGACCTTCCGCCGCGGCCAACAGAAGCCCTTCAGCGGAGGCCGCTCTGCGTCGGAGATCCCGCTCCTGGGACGACAGCAAACTGTAGACACCTAACCTTCGGTAGGTCCGCGCGGAGGCCGTGGATCGGCGCTGCACCCACCTCCTTGTCGCGCCGCCAGGGGGGGGTCCACCGCAGACCCTAACAATCCACAAGCAGCTCCGAAAGTTCTGTTTGTGTAGTGTGTTGCTCTTCGATTGGCGACGCGCACTGGGGGGGAGGGGGAGGGGGGAGGCTTCTTAGAAGGTTGCTGCTTCTTAGAAGGCGCGGGCCTTTCATCTTTAGAAAGCAGGGGTGCTTCCTAACGTACCAAACCAGACCGCCCGGATCGATTACCCCTAATGCAACGATGGCGACCTCACTGAGGCCACGCCTTCATTGTGTTGCTGGGGTTCGGGGGGCTCTTTTCCTCAATGAGGTGTTGCCCTCCGAGATCCTCAGTCGGCCTTCGTAGATGGCCTCGGCGACGAACTCCGCGAGCTTGGGGTGCGAGCGGAACTGGGTGTCCAGGAACAGCGGCCGCAGACCCTCTGCCACCAGGCGGCCGTACAGCGAAAGGGTCAGCCCGCGCCTCTGAAGGGGCCCCGAGAAACACAACTAACAGAATTCCCCATATTTCCCCATATATTCTGGGTTTTTGTCTCCCCCCCCACTTCCCAGATGTTCCCATTTTTTCTGGGGAATCGACGATGAATTGTGCCTGTGTGTGTTTTTCCCTCCTGAGCCTCTCCGCCTCCCGGGACTGCACCGTGGGGGGCAGCTGGCTCGGGGTGGACGACACGGGGGGGACAGCAGCGGGACAACTAAGGACACATTCGGGTGAGAGACAATCGGGAGGTGGAGGAGGAGGAGGAGGAGGGGAATCTCTGAGATCCGGCGGCTCTACGATACGATACGATACGATACGGCCACCGCTGCGGACACCGCCCGGGCCTAGCTAAGACCAGGTGGGCAAGGCCTTGGCCTCAGACATGACGTGTCAAGACAACATGCAATGCGAGACACGTGTATAAAACAAGTGATGACGGGAGAGAGGGGGAGAGGAAGCCCCTGGAGGTCGATGCCACCGTGCTGACCAGTATGCTCGTGTGCGTCGGTGCGGGAGAGGAGGGAGGGAGGGAGGGAGAAGAAAACCTTGGTGCCGGTGTCGGCGCGGGTAGGGCGTGTCGTCTTGACGTTTGCTGGGGGTTCATGGTCTTGGTCCTGTGTTTGCTGGTGCGGGGTCGGTGTAGTGATGCTCGAGCGCCGTCCAAGTTTCGGTGTCCTGGGCTGTTCGCATCCATGCGATGTCGGCTGGTGCGCTCTTCGAGTGGGTTTGTGTGGGCGGACGGCGGAGGTCTGGTCTGCGCTGGCGTGAGTGAGTGTTGGCTTCGTCGTCCCAACGCTTGCGTTGGCGACCGTGCTGCCTCCGTCCCCGCTGGCGCGGGCTGAGGCCTGGTTACCATTGCAGTACTCGCCATGTCCACCGTGTGCGGTCGCGGTTTGCGACTCTGGAAGCCATGCACCATACTTCTCGCTCGTGCACCGTCACCCAGCTGTCGATGCGGTGGAGCGTCATGAGGTGCTCTGCGCGTCGTGTCGCTCGCTGAATGCAGTCAACCCAAGGTTCCAACTTGGCTACTGTGGCCCTGTCTTCGCCGTCCTCGCTGTGCACGTCAGGTGTGATAGGCGTGTCGCGCTGGAGTGGGTTGCTGTCTGCGTCGTCGTCGTCACTAGTGCGTTTGGTGCAGTGGTCGTTGTCTAGAGCTTTGGTGTTTGTGACGTCAGCAGCAGTGGGCCCTTGGCTGCTGTGTCTGCTTATGTTCTTGTGCGTCGCCTCGACGTTCTGATGATCATGCGAAGCACGCGTCGTTGCGTCCGTCGTAAATGCTGCCGCAAGGGTTCCGTGAGTGTCCAAGTCTCTGGGGGATGTATCGGGCGTCGCGGCCTTCTCAAAGCGTTCCAGAACCCTCTCAGAGCGTTCCGGAAGGGTCTGGAACATATTTATCCTCGTCCCAGCCCCGTCCGAATAGCGGATGACTTGGGATGTCTTCGTGGGAACGAGTATAAGGGCAAGGGGCCACTGAGCTGGATTAGCCCCAGATTGACTTGGCCAGACTTGGATTGGATTATGCCGGTTAAGGCCGGTTTCCAACCACGGATAAACAAGCGCCGATGCTGACTTCAACCTCCCAGGAGTTGCGTCCTAAGCCGAGGGGGAGGTTTCTGGGCAGCTCACGTACGCAGCTGGTTCTCCCTGCGCTTCCCGGCGTCAATGCATCAGTGAAAGCGCCTGGCCACGGGGCCGAAGCCAGCTGCCTGCTGCAGAATTGGCACCCCGCCCCCCTTCCCACCAATCTTGAATTACCCGTCCCCTGACTATGTTCTGACTATCTTTAAAAGTTCCCCCTGTGGAGGGACACGCACCCCTTCCCTCCAATCCCTCCCCCCCCTTCGTCCGCCCCGACTGGCAGTGGTCCCCCGTCAGCACCAAGCGCTCACAGCCCCGCTGGACGAGGGGAACGATGGTGGACACCTCGGTGGCCTGCGCCACCTCGTCCACGAGGATCCCCTGGAACTCCCCCAGCCGCAGAAACAGCGGGCTACCGGCGCTGATCATCTGCGTGCAGATGACGTCGGCGTCCCCCAGCACCTCCATCTGGAACTCCTGCTCCTGCTCCCTCAGCCTGCGCCTGCTGGCCCGGTCGTCCGCCTCCCTGGCCTCCGGTGACTTGGCGGCCCGTGCCTTCCAGCGGGCGAAGCGCAGTGTGGGAATGAACTTGTCCGCTGTCGTGGACGCCTGCCACGTGGCGGCTGGAAAGCCTCTGCCCCGACGCGCCACCGCAAGCTTTCCAGCCGCCCGGGGGCAGGCGCCCCCCACGGCGGAGCAGCTCACGCCTGGACCACACTTCGCCGACCCAGCCTTGGCCTCCTCGGCGCCCTGCCGCGCCTCCTGCGCGGCCGCGATGGCCCCGAGGACCGCGTCCAGCGCCGTCGGAGCGCGCTGCGCGGTGGCCTCCCCAGACCCCTGACGTCATGATTTATGCAACACGCGGTCCCCAGAAATCGCGACCCCTTCCCCAGGACCCTCTTTCCATCTTTCCATCCCTGGTCGGCTCTTGACGGCCCCGAGGCCCGGCGGGGGCCCCCAGCGGCCGAAAATGGCGAACTGCCTCCTCGTCGTGATTTGTGTGACATTGCTCGACGGGGTCTGCCTCCTCTGCGCCCGCGGCGGCGGAGTCCGGCGACGCGGCAGGGCGCTGCCCGGTGGCCTCCTCTGCACCGCCGCCGGCGTCGGGCGGCGGCGCGGCGAGCGCCTCCGGCGGGGCCTCCTCGCGGTGTGCCAGGGCGGGCAGGGACAGGTCGACGCCGAGCTGCTCCGCCTCAAGAGTGACCCTAGGCAAGAGTGAAGCCACCTACGCCTCCTCCTCCTAATCCTCCTCCTCCTGCTCCTCCTCCTCCTGCTCCTCCTCCTCCTCCTCCTGCTCCTCCTCCTCCTGGTCCTCCTCCTCCTCCTCCTCCTCCTCCTGCCTCGTCCCCCTCCTCCTCCTCCTGCTCCTCCTCCTCCTCCTCCTCCTCGTCCTCCTCCTCCTTCTCCTCCTCCTCCTGTGACCTCAGTGCGCAAATTGAGGGGGCGCAAGGTGGCCCAATCCAAGCGCGCAAGCAGCCATCGTCGCATCTCGCTCCACGACGGGGGGGGGCCCCGTGGCCCGCACCAAAGCTCACTCCGGCGAAAGGTCACTCTTGCGCGTAGGCGAGCCTCTCTCCGGACAGCGGCCACCGGCATCGCCTCCAGGTGCTGCAGGCGAGAATGGTGCGCGCTGGCCCTGTCGGCCTCGTCGCGGGCTCTCTGCGCCGCCTCCGCGCGGGCCCTGCGTTCCTTCAGCTGCGCGTCCATGGTCAGCCTCTCGAGGTCTCCCCGGATCCTCTCGGGCCTTCCGACGCGCACCACCTTGACGCCGAGCTTCGCCAGGCCCTCGGCAATGTTGTCCACTGCGATATCCGCGGCCCCCCCGATTGCGGGACACCAGGCTGCGCGGCTCAGGTCTTGCCAGAATGGTACAGCCATCGTGCGACCACAAAGAACGCCGACCGAGGAATGAGGCGCGCTTCTGTACATTTCAGCGAGCCTCGGCCACGAACGGGCTCCCCGACATGGGAGCTGAGGAGCTCCCCAGAAACCAGAGCCGACTCGCGTGCATCCGAAAGCATCCCCCTGCAAGCCGACAGCCATGGCGCCTGCGTCTGCCCAGGCTCCCGCTGAGTTGGCCACCGTCGTGAAAGTCTCACGGTGCACTCACTTCAGCGGGTAGGCCTGGAATGCGTAGCCCTGTGGAGTGATGCTATCGCGTGGACCCCAAGTAGCAGATTCCTGCACTCCCCACGGCGCAGGCTCTACGCCAACGTGTACGGCGCCAACCACAGGGCATCAACCACATGGCACCACAGAGCATCGTCCAAGTGGCGCACTGGCCACAAGACGCCATACGTGCGAGTCTGGGATATATCCATATCCATCGCCTGGGAAACGACGTCCTGGTGCACCCCCGGGGGCCCGAATATGTCCAGATCCACCGCCTGCCGAGGCTCCGAAAACTGACCCTCCCGGCGGTGGCCATGTATAAATTCTCGCCTCGGAATATGGCACAGGGCAAGCCATGAGCGACGAAGAGAATAGAGAGCAGAAAATCCACCCCGATCATGACCACCCCGACACGCGAAACCGTTTAGCAAACGCACCCAAAGAGAAAGAATCGACCAGGGCAGGGCCGTGTAGCAAACGCCCAGGGCCGCGTAGTAAACGCCAATTGTCTGGTCTGGGTGTTTTTCCTCCCTTGATAGATCGGCGGCGCGCACAAGGGGGTGGAGGGAGGGCGGAGGGCTTCTCAGAAGGGGGTTCTTCTCAGAAGGCGCCGGCCCTGCATCTACAGACAAGGCCGGCGCCTTCTAAGAAGCAGGGGTGCTTCTAAGAAGCCTCCCCCCTCCCCCCACCCCCCTCTGCGCGCGGCTGAATATGACTACCTACCAGACCACCCCAACCCAACCCGAAGACCCGAATTTCGAGTTGGGGGGGTAAGGGTTCCACATGTGTTTTTTCGATGTTTCCCGAACCCCCCCCCACTGGAAATCGAGGGTAAATCTGAGCCTTCGGGTTGGGTTGGGGTGGTTTGGTGGGTGGTGATCTAAGAAGCCCTCCCCCCTCCCCCCACCCCCCTTTGCGCGCGGCTGAATAGAAACGGCTCTGACGCGAGACGGCATGGCAATCTCACGCCGCGGCCTATGCCTATGCGGGCCGCCAGCGGGGCCGCGCCGCTCTGGCAGCGAGGGCGCCTACCGCGCGGCCATCGTGCAAAGCGTGAGGCACCACGGGGCACGAGCGCTAAAGGGCACAAAAGACATACAGGGCAGCTTTCAATATATCGGATGTTGTAAATGAATTTTGATGCATTATTACTTTATGATTAAGTGTATGCGTGAAGTCATAGTTGTTTTTAATATTCAATCCCTGCGTCTTTAATACAGGACCCGCACGCGGAGCAGGCCTTAAAAACGGCACTGCACGCGGCACGCCAACGGCAGGAGCCGCACCGGCCACAGAGCGCCGTGCGCACGCCAACGGCCCCGAGGGGCGAAATCAGAAATTAACGGGCGAAGAACGGTAAAAAATAAGTTTTTCCGCTGTCGGGGGCGCCTGTCCCAGGGCGGCTGGAAAAATTATACCCTTGCGGTGCCACCGTATGGGTATAAACTTTCCAGCCGCCCAGGGACAGGCGCCCCCGACAGCGAAAAAGCTTATTTTATTATCTTGCACAGGGTGTCTAGAGCTCCGACCACTTTATTTCGGCGTCGTCGTCGCTCCCCCCAGCTGCCTTGTGCCCTTCATGTGTCGCTATATGTGTCGCTATGTGCTTCGTGCCCTTCATGTGCCGCTATATGTGTCGCTGTGTGTCGCTATGCGTCTCCATGTGTGCGTCGCTGTGTGTCGCTATGCGTCGATATGTGTGTGTGTGTGTCGATATATGTCTCTATATGTCGATATGTGTCGACATGTGTCGCTACGTGTCGCTCCCCAGCACCCCAGCGCACCGCCCCCTCCGCCCCGACGACTTTATTTCGGCGTCGTCGTCGCCCCCCCCCCCCCTCTCCTCAGCAGCCCAGCGCGCTGCCCCCTCCGCCCCGACCACTTTATTTCGGCGTTGTGTCGACATGTGTCGCTACGTGTCGCTCCCCAGCACCCCAGCGCACCGCCCCCTCCGCCCCGACGACTTTATTTCGGCGTCGTCGTCGCCCCCCCCCCCCCTCTCCCTCTCCTCAGCAGCCCAGCGCGCTGCCCCCTCCGCCCCGACCACTTTATTTCGGCGTCGTCGTCGCCCCCCCCCGGTCCTTTTCCCCAGCAGCCCAGCGCACCGCCCTCTCCGCCCCGACCACTTTATTTCGGCGTCGTCGTCGCCCTATTTCGGCGTTGTGTCGACATGTGTCGCTTTCCCCAGCAGCCCAGCGCACCGCCCTCTCCGCCCCGACCACTTTATTTCGGCGTCGTCGTCGCCCTATTTCGGCGTTGTGTCGACATGTGTCGCTATGTGTCGCTCCCCAGCACCCCAGCGCACCGCCCCCTCCGCCCCGACGACTTTATTTCGGCGTCGTCGTCGCCCCCCCCCCCTCTCCCTCTCCTCAGCAGCCCAGCGCGCTGCCCCCGCTGCCCCGACCACTTTATTTCGGCGTCGTCGTCGCCCCCCCCCTGTCCTTTTCCCCAGCAGCCCAGCGCGCCGCCCTCTCCGCCCCGACCACTTTATTTCGGCGTCGTCGTCGCCCCCCCATCCCCTCTCCCGAGCAGCCCAGCGCGCCGCCCCCTTCGCCCCGACCACTTTATTTCGGCGTCGTCGTCCCCCCCCCCTCCCCTTCTCCCCAGCAGCCCAGCCCAGCGCACCGCCCCCTCCGCCCCGACCAGCTTATTCTCTTGCACAGGGTGTCTAGAGCTCCGACCATTTTATTTCGCGTCGCTCCCCCCCCCCGCGTCCTCAGCGCCAGTGGGGCCCCCGCGCCGTGGCTCTCTGCCCCAAGCCCCCCCGCGTCCCCAGCGCCCCAGCGGGGGCCCCGCCCACTGCCCCCTCCGCCACGAACGCTTTATCCCGCGTCGCCCCCCCCGCCCCCCCGCGTCCCCAGCGCCAGTGTGAGGCCCACGCGCCGTGGCTTTCTGCCCCGAGCCCACCGCGTCCCCAGCGCCCCAGCGGGGGCCCCGCCCACTGCCCCCTCCGCCACGAACGGTTTCTCCCGCGTCGCAGCTCCCCCCCCTCCCCCGCGTCTCCAGCGCCAGTGTGGGACCCCTGCGCCGTGGCTCTCTGCCCCAAGCCCCACTGCGTCCCCAGCGCCCCAGCGGGGCCCCCGCCCACTGCCCCCTCCGACACGAACGCTGTATTACACGTCGCACCCCCCCCCTCCGCGTCCCCAGCGCCAGAGTGGGACCCCCGCGCCGTGGTTCTCTGCCCCGAGCCCCCCCCGCGTCCCCAGCGCCCAAGCGAGGGCCCCGCCCACTGCCCCTTCCGCCACTAACGCTTCATCCCGCGTCGCGCCGCACACCACCTCCCCCACCTCCCTCCCCGCGTCCCCAGCGCCCCAGTGGGGACTCCGCCCCGTGCCCCCTCCGCCCCGACAATTTTACTCCGCGTCGCGACGCACGCCACCTCCCCCCCTTCCCCCCCTTTCCCCAGCGCCCCAGTTGGACCCCCGCCCCGTGGCCCTCTGCCCCAAGCCCCGCCCAGTGCCCCCTCCGCCCCGACAGTTTATTCCGCGTCGCGGCACACACCACCACCCCTCCTCTCCGCGCCCCCAGCGCCCCAGTGGGACCTCCGCCCCGTGCTCCCTCCGCTCCGAGCACTTTATTCCGCGTCGCGACGCACGCCGCCTCCCCCACCCTCCCCACCTGGGACTTGGGCCCCGTTGCTGGGCCCAGAGGGCGATGCCTTGCCCCCTCTTCCTCCCTCCTCCTCCACCTCCTCCTCCTCCTCCTCCTCCCCCTCCTCCTCCTCCTCCTCCTCCTCCTCCTCCTCCTCCTCCTCCTCCTCCTCCTCCTCCCCCTTCCTTTTTGTGCAAGGGCTATGGCACACGTGCCACTTGTACCGTTCTTCGCCCGCTGAAGAAAGGTGTACCTATGCCATTGCCCCCAGGGGCCTCTCCTGGGGCGCGTCCTGGCCAGGATGCCAAGGCGCATCCAGCGGTGGCGACAGCGAGGGCCTCCCGGGAGGGCCAACAGAGGCGACAACGAGGCAGGGACAGCAGCAGAAGACGAATGAGCCACAGAAGCAGAAACTGTTGGCGCTCCGCGCGAATTTCTTGGACTCGCGCTGGACGCCCCTCCCTGGCGCGCGGAGCGCGCCAGGGAGGGGCGCCGGAGGCGCCGCCGGGGGGCCGAGGCGCGGATCCAGGAAACCCGCGCGGAGCGCCAAGAATTCATGTTTTTTACGTGGTGCTTTCTTCTTCGAAGTACCGTCGCCGTTTCCTCCGGCGACGGCGGCGCCCAGAGGCACCATCGGGCACCGAGCACATCGGGGATCGTCTGACCCGGGTCAATCCAGACCCGGGTCTGCAGGAAACCAAAAGCTGCAACGCAGGGGAACAAAAACTGCAACGCAGATCTTCGCAAACCCGGGTCAGCCCATATGCGCGGACGCCTCGCGGCCTCGAGCGGCTCGCGAGCCTGGGCCAGCCAGAGGGGGTCTTCGCAGGATCCTGCAGGATCTGGCGCCCTGGCTGACCCCCGTTTGCATGGACTGAAGGGGCCCTGGGACACACAAATGAATACACACAAATAAAAGGATCCCCCATGTCTTCCCGCATATATTCCTGGGCTCTTGCCTTCCCCCCCATTCCATTCCCCATAGCTTCCCATATCTTCTGGGGCATCGACGATGACTTGTGTCTGTTTTTTTTCCCCCCTCCTGATTGACCCCCGTCTCGACTAGGGCTCCCAACTTCGCGCTTCGCGCTCCGCGAAGCGCGAATAACTTCGCGCTCTCGCGCCGCCCCCCCAAAGGGAGAACAGGAGGACGAGGAGGAGGGGGAGAAGGATCGAGGACCGCGAAGCGCGAAGCGCGAATAACTTCGCGCCCTCGGGGGAGCCCTTGCTCGAGGCTCCCGAGCACAGGGCACCGAGAGCACGCCGGGCGGGGCAGCCGCGGCGCCCGGGGCGCGGCAGGGCGCCGCGGCCGGCACGGCACGCGCAGGGCGCGGCAGACGGCCCCCCTGTGGCAGCCCAGTGCGCGCCTGCGGCCGCGGCGCGCGGGGCACCGGCCGCACGGCGCGGCCACGGCGCGGCAAACGCAAGCGCCCTGCTTCTAACCAGCCTCGAGCGCGTCCCTGTCCCCAAGATGGGCGAGCAAGAAGCGAGGACGCTCGTAAGGACGGGCCCTCAGAGTCTGAGGGGACCCTCCAGGTCGCCATCGAGGCAGGACGAGATCAAACATAGGGACAGGGATATGTTTCTCAAACTGGTAAGTTTCGGCGGTGGAGTGGCACAACGTTGCACTCCGACCTAGCGGTGCTCTCCTTTCTCTCGGGCGTCGTCCTGGTTCGTGGCGCGTCCTCTCCCGCAGCTGATGAGGCTGGTGTACTCGAAGCGCCGCGGACGGCGCCACCACCGACTCTTCGCCTCCCGGGACTTCGCCACCGGGCTCCTGTCCAAGGCGTACCTTTCCCTGCACTTCAACTTCGGCACCGCGTGATCCCAGACGTGAGGCAGCGCCTTCTTTTGCCCTCCCTCTGCTAATTAAAGCTAGGCACGGCCCGCTTAGCTTCTATCGGAAGAGGCTCGCTCTCGACCCGCAGATCAAAAAGTTTCGGCGGTAGAGAAATCTCCCTGGAGCAAACCACCCTTCAGCAAAAACGGCCCAGGACCGAAACCGACGGACCTGGGCCCGCAGATACGACGGCCGCGACGCCCTCTCGCGAACCGAAGACGGCCAATTCGCTCATCGACGTGTCAGGGCAGGAGGTCCATCAAGCTCCGACTGCTCGGGGGATCCAAGCGAGGGGCGAGTCGGGCTTCTTTTTTGCACCGCAGCGCGGCAGGAGCGATCCGCTCGCCCGCTCTAGTAGCCTGGCGCGCGTGGCGTACGAATTAACCGGAAGCAAGAGGGGGGAGGAGGGAGAGGGCGGCCGCAGAAAGCAGGCGAAGGAGAGTTGAGGGATGAAAAAACGACCCTACCCTGGGTTACAAGTGCGTGGTCTGTAAACCTGCTGGGAACCCCCAAAGCCTAGAGCCGCCAGGACGCGGCACATCACGCAGGGTTTACCCTGTCAGCCCACAGGAGTTTCAGCGCGCAGCGCCTCGTAAACCAGGGTAGGGGCGTTTTTTATGCCCTTGAGAAAGGGGGCACTCACCACGGAAAGAGTCTCGGCAGGAGAGGGCGGAGCGGCCAGCCTGGGCCGTGGCGGCCCGGGAGTGGGCGCGGAGCGGCACCGCGACCACACATTTGAGCGATAGGAACACACTACCCCGCCTGGGGCCCAGAACCGTCCTGCTGCCGTCCCCAGGCACTGCTCGTGCCACCTGGGGACACGCAAAAAAGCCCAAGACTTGCCTCGGAACCACGAGCGTCTGCCCTGAGGCCGAAAATGCTCCGCCCGCAATTCCTGCGGGGCACGAGGCCCTCCCTTGCTCGAAAGCGCGGTTTCGTCGACCGAATGATCTTCAAGGTCGCCCAGGCCCCTGACTCGCAGAACTGTCTCACCCCCAAGAGTGAACTGTCGGAGTCGTCTAGACTCCCCTCCACGCGCGTTTTTACCACTCTGCGACCGTGCGTTCTCAGCCCCCGGTTGCCCAAGGCGCTGCCAACAGACTCCCAGACTCTCCCAAAGGGCCACCGAGCGCCTGGGCCCGAATTGCTCGCGAGGCCCCGGAGGCCCCGAGCTGGCCCCAGGACTGCCGAATATATGGCATAGAGGTGGGTCCCCAGTCCTGGGGGTCCAAAGATGCCCCCAGTGTCGCCCATTATTTCTAACAGTGCCCCCAGGAGGCTCTACGATGGCCCAAAGTGAAGGGGCCCTGGGACACACAAATAAATACACACACATAAACGGATTCCCCATATTTTGTCATATCTTCTGGGTTTTCGTCTTCCCCCCCACTTCGAATATTTTCCCATATTTCCCTGGGGATCGACGATTAATTGTGTCTGTGTGTGTTTTTCCCCTCCTGACAAAGGAGCACCTAGATGGACCCCGGGCCCGACTGCCTCCAATATACCTAAAAACTGTCGAAGGTCCGCGCGCACTTCCTGGATCGGCGCAAAAAAAACCTCCCTGGTGGCGCATGGCTCCGCGCGGACCTCCGAAAAGTCATGCTCACGCATGCCGTTTCCAGCACTTGACCTGGGGGTCCCGAAAACGTGCAGGGAAAGGCCGCGCGGCGATCTCGAGATCCCCGAGGCGCTCACCGCACCGACCGGCACTGCACGGTCTTGGAGCCCTGGAGGCCCCGGCCGCCCGAGACGCCCTCGCCGAAGGACCCGAGTCCAAAAACCACTAGGCCACCCCGACTCCCCACGGCCTCGGGGGGGCGAAAAACGCAGTCGCCCTGGGACAGGCTTTCCCCGACGGCAAGAGAGGTTCTGCTGCACCGCTCCTCGTCTGCTCACACGAAAGGCCTCTTCGATTCGGGGGCGCGCAAACATGGATTGGCGATCCATGGATTTGGCGCGCGGTCGCCTAATCCATGGATGGGGGGAGGTGGCCTCCCCAAAATGCGGCCGGTGCCGCCTCGCTCGGCGTCAGACATCCGCGATTTCCCATGGAAGCGGGACCCGTCGCCAATACACGCCCCCTGTAATCCGTGTTTGCGATCGCCTGATAGATGAGGTCGGAGTGGATGGGGTCGGAGGATCGCGCTGCATCACCGATGCATCAGCGATGCATCCGCAACGCACGCTGGGTAGTCGAAGCCAATCTGGCGCCAATCTGGCAGGCCCAATCTGGCAAACGGAGGCAATCTGACGAGGGAGCCAACGCGAATCCAGTCTGGCGAATAACCCCAATCCTCCAGCTTGGCCAGGCCAGCTTGGCCCTTGGGGCCTAATCCAATCTGACAGTCTGGCCTTCGACTACCCAGTCGGAATAGATGGGGTCGGAGGATCGCGCTGCATCGCCGATGCATCAGCGATGCATCCGCGACGCACGGCGATGCATCGGCGGCGTCGGCGACGCGCTCCGGCGACGTCGACGTGGAGCGAATCGGGTTGCACATCGGGCCGCATCGGCGATGCATCAGGGGGTCGGCGCGATCCTCCGAGGGAGCAAACCTCCGATCCCTGAAGGGAGAGGAGGAGGAGAGGAAGAGGAGGAGGAGGAGGAGGAGGAGGAGGAGAGGAGGAGGAGGAGAGGAAGAGGAGGAGGAGAGGAGGAGGAGGAGGAAGAGGAGGTGTGGTCACCGCACCCGCTCGGGGCCCCCCGACGGCAAGAGCTTTCTGTCGTGCCGCTCCCCTCGGCGGCGAGCGAGAGGGGCAAACGGGAAGGAGAGGGTCCTCGCAGGAAGGCGGCGGGGCTCGTCAGAAGCCCCGCCGCCTTCTGAGAATCTTCGTGTGCCTTCGGGGAAGGCTCAGCACACTTCTCGGAAGGCCGGGGGTGCTGGGCCTGTCTTCCACCAACACCACCACCACAAGTTGGAGGCGGGAAGGAGGTGGAGGACGAGGAGGAGGAGGAGGAGGACGAAGAGGAGGAGGAGGAGGAGGAGGAGGTGCAGGAGGAGGAGAGGGAGGAGGAGGAGAGGAGGAGGACCCCCTCCCCCTCCAACTTCTGGTGTGGTGGTGGAAAACAGGCCAACAGGCCAATCAGGGGCATGCCTCCGAGCCCTCCTGCGCAGGCCCGCCCCCTCGAACTTCCCCCCCCTCCTCCCCTCCTCCTCCTCCTCCTCCTCCTCCTCCTCCTCCTCCTCTCCTCCTCCTCCCTCCTCCTCCTCCTCCTCCTCCTCCTCCGCTTCCCCCCCCCCCATCGCCCGCCGCCGACCCTCGGCTGCCAACGCTGGCTGGCCACACGGTGTGGCCACCGCACCCGCCTCGGGGGGCCCGCGTCGCCGTTCGGCGCCTCCTTTGCACGGCGCAAGCCTTCAACGCGCAGTTTTTGCGGCGCCGACCGTGTGGGCAGAGCGCCCCGCTGCAGGGGTCGTTCGGCCGTCCGCGCCAGGGCGCCCAACTCCGAAAAAGAAAATGCGCTGGCACGCAAACTCTGTCACACGAGACTGCAGTGAGGTCGGGCGTGTCCCCCTACGGGCGGCTTTTGGACTCACGGGATGCCCCCAAAAAATGCTCCAGAGTGGTCAACCAAAACTCGTCCCCGGACGAGTTGTTGTACTATGTTTGAGACATTCCCTCTGTAGAGGGACAGGCCAGACTCGGCGGCGACGACAAGGGCGAATAGCCCAGGGGCGGGCATTTCACGCATTCGCCCAGGAGCCTCGCCGAAGACATGGACCATCGGCGACCTTGGATACATGTATTGCTCCCCCCTGGGCTGTTCGCCCCCATCGTTGTGGATGCCACGACAATGGACACCATAGCAGTCCTATCATTGAATTTTAAATGTGGTTACAGTGTCGGAAACCATCCTGCAAATGCTTGAAACATGTAATTTACACGATTGGAGCAGTTTTAACACACTGCCTAGACATCTGGAAATGATGTGGCAACATGCTTCCTCTCCAGTGATCGTCCTCCACAACCCCATCGTCGCCCCCGACCCGACTTAAGCCTAGAGGCACTGGCTCACCACACGGTGTGGCCACCGCACCCGCGCGGGGGGGCCCCTGGCACCGAGAGACCCACGCAGCGAGCGCGGGGGCCGACGGCGGAGCGGCGAGGCCACGCGGCATTGCCCTCGGCGGTCGCGAGCAGCGGCTTTGATGGGCCTGCTTTCCACCAGCACCACGATGAAGTTGGAGGGGGGAAGGAGGAGGAGGAGGAGGAGGAGGAGGAGGAGGACGGACGGAGGAGGGGAGGAGGAGGAGGCGGAGGAGGAGGAGGAGGAGGAGGCGGAGGAGGAGGAGCAGGTTCCCGAGGGGCTGGCACCCGCACCCTGGCCCCAACGAGGCCGAGAAACGCTCGCCTCCCTTTCTCAAGAGGGACAGCGGGTCCGACGACCCCCTCCCCCTCCTACTTATGGTGGTGGTGGTGGAGAACAAGCCCACCAGGCTTGACGCCGAGGCCCACCCAAGCCTTCAGCACGTGCACGGCCGTGGTGGTCTTGCCCGTGCCTGGCGGACCCTGGACGAGGGTGCAGCGCCTGGTGAAGGCTGCCTCGATGGCCTCCCGCTGCGAGGGGTTCAGCCCGGGCGCCTCGGCATGGCTCGGAACAGACAACAAAAGACGACGACGACGACGACGACGACGACGACGACGACGACGACAACGACAACGACATCGACGACGACAACGACATCGACAACAACAACAACAACAACAACAACAACAACAACAACAACAACAACAACAACAACAACAACCACAACAACCACAACAACCACAACAACCACAACAACAACAACAACAACAACAACAACAACAACAACAACACAACAACAAAACACGAACGACGACGACGACGACGACGACGACGACGACAACGACAACGACAACAACAACAACAACAACAGCAACAACAACAACAACAACAACAACAACAACAACAGCGGACAACAACAACGACAACAACAACAACAACAACAACAACAACAACAACAACAACAACAACAGCCGCAGCAGCAGCAGCAGCAGCCGCAACAACAACAGCGGACAACAAAGCAAAAAACTTCGGGAGGCGCACGAAGTTCTTGGAACGCGCCGGGCGACCCGTGGAGGCGCATCCAGCGGCGCCCCCGAGTCGCTCTGTGACGGCCAGGCGACAACGGGGACAAAACCCGAGGTGGGATGCACCCGAACATGTAGCATGAAGTCGGGCACGTCCCTCTACAGGAGGAATGTGCAAACATGTGTTGAACAAACAGTCTGGTGACGATGCTTCGCCTCGTTTTGACCATGCTGGAAGAGTTGCGTTGGCTCTATTCTATTTGTCGTCCAGAGTCCGCCTATAGGGGGACATGCCCGACCAAAATGTACTCCAGATTTCGTCATAAAAGGGAGGGGGTCTGGACCCGCCAAGACAAGCCATGTCAGACCTCCCCCTGTGGGAGAACCCTCCAAAGCATCGTCCCCAGACCCCCCCAGGCCCTCCAAGATGGCCTGGAAGAGACCCCCCCCCGAAATGAGACCCCCTCCCTTGTATTACGAAATCTGCTGACGGGGTCGGGCGACGGAGCCCCCCTCGGGTCCCAGACCGCCGAGGCCGTGCCTTGCTCACGACGTCGGCCCCGGAGATCTCCTTCTCCTCCTCCTCCTCCTCCTCCTCCTCCTCCTCCTCCTCCTCCTCCTCCTCCTCCTCCTCCTCCTCCTCATCCTCCTCCTCCTTCCAGTCCCCCTCCCTTGTATGAGACCCCCCCCCGAAATGAGACATCATAAACAGAACACGGAGGAACGGCCCGAGCGCCCGAGCCCCTCCCGAGCTCCGCGCGGTCCTCTTCTCGGCGTCTTCGCCTGCACGGCAGGGCTCTCGGCGCGGCGTGTCGGCGCGCGGAGAGGTCTCTGACGCCGCGTCGGTCGCTCGCCCCTGAGTCGGCGGCGAGCGAGGGGGGGGGAATGAGAAGGAGAAGGCCTTCTCAGAAGGCGGCGGGACTTCTCAGAAGCCCTCGCGCCTTCCGAGAAGTTGTTTCTGTCGTCGGGGAAGGCTTTTAAAACTTCTCGGAAGGCTGGGGGACTTCCGAACCTTCTGAGGAGGCCTTCTCCTTCTCTCTTCCCCCCCTCGCTCGCCGCCGATTGAAGCGAGCGCGGCCCCGATCGTTCAAGGTTCCCGTCGCTGGAGGCCTGCACATGGGCACCAGCACCAAGACATGGGGCTGCCCCCACGGGGGGGGAGGTGATCCTAGATTTCGGTGGTGGCGGTACTGCTTCGGTCCCCTTGGAAGCCAGAATATTAACACCATCACAGAGATCGGGATGTTCTTCTCTCGGTGGAGGAACACCGCCGATATTGGTGTTGGTTTCAACCTCTAGGCTTATGTCGGGCGTGTCCCCCTACAGGGGGATTTTCGACGGAAAAAAAGAATACCCCAAAAATACCCCAAAAAGGTCAAATAATACTGAAAGAATAGTCCCCCGACTATTTGTTTGCCTATTTCTTTATTACTTTTGGAGTATCTTCCTGGGTAGTCGAAGCCAATCTGGCGCCAATCTGGACGGGGGCAATAAGACGAGGGAGCCAACGCGAATCCAGTCTGGCGAATGACCCCAATCCTTCAGTTTTGGCCGAGCCAGATTGGCCCTTGGGGCCCAATCCAATCTGACAGTCTGGCCTTCGACTACCCAGTCTGTTTCTCGTCGAAAATCCCGCTGTAGGGGAACAGGCCCGACTTCACTCTGGGCCTGCGACGTCGGCTCTCCTGTGGCGCTGCTGTGCCCCGCGGGGCTCCCTCGTCGGCCCGTCGTGCGGAGTTCAACCTCGAGCGCCTTCGCTGGCGCCGCCGGCGCGCGCCATCGCCGCGTGAGCCTACCGTGTGCTCGCGCCCGTCTGCTCTCCCGACGTTTCCAGTCGGGGGGGTGCTAGACGTGTCTCTGACACATCTTTTCACGCAATCCTGCAACCCCTAGAACCCTCGAATCCTCGTGAGGCATGCTCTGGAGGCCGTGAAGACCTCCTTGGAAATCCTGCAGACACCTTTCGAATAGGGGATCGACTACAGAATTGATGTACCGACCTTTCGTCGAAAGTACGACAAATACCTAGAACCCACGTAGATGTACGGAGATTATACGTATTGGTTTGCAGATTCGACGAACGAACCAATTCTGGGGTGAATCGACTCAGAAGCCGATCCCCTGCAGTGGAGGCCAGTCCACAAGAGACCTTCCACAAGAAACCCCACCCGGAGACCCCAGAACGCCCATGAGTTTGAAGGGGCCCTGGGACGCACAAATAAATAGACACAAATAAAAGTATTCCCCATACTTTCCCATATATTTGGGGTTCTTGTCTTCCCCCCCACTTCCCATATTTTCCCATATTTTCTAGGGGAATCGACGATTAATTGTGTCTGTGTGTTTCTTTCCCTCCTGAGAGTTTTTGGCGTGGGAGCGCCGCGCTGCCCCTGGCAGAACCCTCGTAACCCAAGACACCCAGGGCACCCTGGAGGCGAGCAGTGGGTGCCTCTTGGCATGGCCCTCCACTGTTCGGCGGTGGACAAACCTCCCTTTATGAAGGGGCCCCAGGACACGCAAATAAATATACACAAATAAAAGGATTCCCCATATTTTCCCATATTTTCTGGGGTTTTGTCTTCCCCCCCACTTCCCATGTTTTGCTATATTTTCTGGGGAATCGCCGATTAATTGTGTCTGTGTTTTTTCCCCTCCTGACTGTAGGCGAGCAGTGGGTGCCTCTTGGCATGGACCTCCACTGTTCGGCGGTGGACAAACCTCCCTTTCGTAAACCTCCCCTTAGTGAAAACGGCCTGGGACCGAAACCGGCGGACCTGGGCCCGCAAAAATAACGGCCGCGACGCCCTGCCGCGAGCCGAAAACGGCCAATTCACTAATCGACGTGTCAGGGTAGGAGGTCTATCCACCCCGAACTGTATACCCGAACCTTGGGCCAGGGACACGTCCGGCAACACTCGGGGACCTGCTGACCCGGGCCAATCCAGCGACCCGGGTCAGTCAAGCCTTGCAGCATCCCACAAGATCCTGCAAGATCCTGCGCCCAAACCCGGGTCCACGCGAAGGACCCTGCAAGACCCTGCAGGATCCTGCACCCAGACCCGGGCCAGTGCGACCCTGGCCCTGCAGCTGCAGGATCCTGCGTGATCGGGCGCTCTGGCCGACCCGCCTCGAGGCTCCCGAAACACCCGAGCGGCCCGAGCTCTTGCATCCCGGCGAGCGCCGCTGCCAGCTCCAGCCAGCACCGCGCCAGCTGCTCGGCGGGCAGCGCGCGCACCTCCTCGGCCGCGAGCCTCACGGCGGCGGCCTCGGGCGCGGGCGGGGCCGCGGCCTCGGCCGCGCCGGCGGCGGGCCCCGGCGGCGCACCGCCCGCGGTGGGCGACAGGTTGCTGGGCCGCACGGCCTTCACGGAGCCATCCTCGGGCAGACCAGCGCGTTCCATGCGAGGCGGGGATGTATCCACATCCACCGCCTGAGAACCGGACGGATGTATACATACATACATGCATACATACATGCATGCATACATACATCCATACATACATACATACACGCATACATGCATGCATGCATGCATACATGCATATATACATACATACATGCATGCATGCATGCATGCATACATACATACATACTTACGCACGTGCGTATATACATATATACATACATACATGTATGTGTATATGTATACATATGTCTATATATGTATGTAGACATAAATGTACATAGATAGTGTGTATACCCACGTGGCTTGTGTGTGTTATCATATATTACTATACAGAGATGCATACACACACATACACACATACATACATACATACAAGCAAACATACAAGCATGCATGCATGCATGCATGCACACCTACATACATGCATACACACGTACATACATACATACATACGCACGCACGTACGTACGTGCGTACATACATACATACGTACGTACGTGCGTACATACGTACATACGTACATATGTGCATACGTACATACAAACAAACAGACAGACATACCTATATATATATATAATCTATATATATATATATATATATACGTATGTGTGTGCGTATGGTGCCCCAGCGGGCGGTGGATATGGATGTGGTTTAGCCCCCAGGGGACCCAAATAGGTCCATGTCAACCGCCTGCCGAGGTCCCCGTAATTGGTACCCCAGGCGGTGGTCATGTAAAATTGTAGACGCTTCGCATAACCCAATCAGCCCATCCAGAAACGATGCCCAGAGGAATTGCCTCGATCAGGGAAGTGGGCAGCACACAAAGGGTCCCCCAGTGGAGGCCTCTTCGAGCGTCTTGGAGGCCTCTTGGCGGGCCCAGACGCCCCTTAGAGCGTATTTGGTGCCTCGGAAAATTTCTTGGGGCCTCCTGGGGGTATCTTGGGAGCCTCCTGGAGGCCTCTTAGGCGACTCTTGGGGCGCTCTTGGGGCGCTCTTGGAGCGTTCTTGGAGCGTTCTTGGGCCTCTCTTGGAGCCCTCTTGGGCCATGTTGGAGCCATCTTGAGACATCGGATGGCCATCGGAAGTGACGAAAAGGCGAGAACGCCAAAAACATCGACTCGCCTAGGGTTTGGAAGGAGATTGGCCTCTTCGGGGCCTCTTGGGGGAGCTCTCTGGCCACTTGGAGCCGTTTTGGAGCGGTCTTGGGGCGACTTGGAGCATCGTGGGAACCATCTTGAGGCATGTTGGGATGTTTTGCGCCATCTTGGAGGTCATACTGGACCCTCCCTGGCGCTACTAGAGTCATCTTAATCAGCGCCCCCCCCCTAGGAGGCCAAAATGTGGTATTTGGGGGAGGATGTTGGCATTCTCGCCGAGGCCTTTTGGAGAGATCTTGAAGCTTGTTGGGTGTTTGTGGGGAGCCTCTTGGGGCATCTTGGGAGTCACTTGGGAACCTCTTGGGGGCCGGCTGGGGGCCTTTGGGGGGTCTTTTGGGGCCCCTGGCCACTCTCGAGGCACCCTTGGGAGCCTTGGGGGACATCGCTGAGCAATCTTAGAGGAGGGGAGCTCCCCGGCCCAACGAGCCCCCCCAAGAGGCCAAAATGGGGCCACAACCTGTATAAAACCGATGATGTGGGCTTCCTCGCAGCGGCCGTTTTGGACTCTGCAACTACCCGCGGGACCCCGTCCAGGTCCAGGGGAGGCGGTTGGGGGAGGGTCAAGTTACCCCTTCCGCGACCGCACGCCGTCTAGCTCACTCCCACCCGCCCTCCCAGCATATACGTAGCACCCGAGTCTGGCCCGAGCCTGAGCATATTCAGCAGTCGTATTTGGATGGGCAGCTACTGGGGGCCAATCCGCCGCCGCCGCCGCCGCGCCGCCGCCGCCGCCGCCGCGCCGCCGCACCGCCACGCCACCGCCGCGCCGCGCCGCCGCCGCCCCCCGCTGCCCCAAACGCCGGCCGCCGCCGCAGCCGCTGCCGCCACCCGCCCCCGCCACTGCCGCCGCCGGCGCCGCCGCCGCAGCCGCCGCCACCGCCGCCCGCAGCCGCCGCAGCCGCCGCAGCCGCTGGGCATACCTTTGTACGGTTTTGCATTGTTCGGCTTTGTGATGGTGGGGGGGGGCCGCATCGGGTTGGCTGCGCATGTTCCGAATTTGGAGGCAGAGTGTGTTTTGTATTGTATTGTACCAGGGATGGTGGGGGGGGGGGCATGGACCCTGGTTGGCCCCCAGTCGCCTGGGGGAGGGGGTGCTCACTAATAGGGAACAGTGATCAAAATTCCCTCCCCGCCCGCAAGCCGTCTCGCTCACTCCCACCCGCCCTCCCAACACAGACGTAGCACCCGAGCCTGGCCCGAGCCCCAGCATATTCAGCACTCGTCTTTGGATGGGCAGCGACTGGGGGCGCATCCGCCGCCGCCGCCGCCGCCGCCTCCGCCCGCCCACACCCGCCGCCCCCGCCTCCTCCGCCCGCGCCGCCGCCGCCGCGCCGCCGCCGCCGCCAGCCGCCGCCACTGCCCGCCCCCGCCGCCGCAGCCGTGCCGCGCAGCGCTGCCGCCACCGCTGCCGCCGCCGCCGCCGCCACCACCTCCGCCGCCGCCGCCGCCGTCCCCGCCGCCGCCGCCGCCGCCACCGCCGCAGCCGCCGCAGCCGTTGCCGCCGCCGCAGCCGCCGCAGCCGCCGCCGCCGCCAAGTGTACTCTGTATTGCTTTATGACAGGGATGGTGGGGGGTGCCCGCATCCTAGTTGGCTGCCAGTCGCCTGGGGGGGGAGGGGGTGTATATTAATAGGGAACAATGATAAATCCCTCCCCGAAGGGGAAGAAGGGCGTTGGAAAAGGAAGCTGCCTGGAACACCTACGCCCTACAGGGCTGGCGGGATTCCTGCCTCGGAGTTCCACGACTCACCAAGTAATTACCCGCAAGTGGCCTGGCTCCGCCGCGAGGGATCTACGGCCCATTTTACACATCGGAGGGTGGCATGTGCTTTTTTCTGACGTTTGCGATCAGGCACCCTGCGAGCAGTGGAACGGGGGGCTTCCAAAATTAGAACCCCGACGTCCTCACGTCGGAAGCAGACTCACGGCGGAAAAAGTTTTGCCGTGTGTTCGGCCTGGGGTCGAGACTTCCAGGGACCCCGTTGCGAAACAGTCAAAACATCGGATCTATGGGCAAAGGGGCAACTTCTGCGATTGGTCCCAGGAGGGGGTCCCGGGAGG